TTGTCCCCTGCAGAGCTTGGGTGCATTCCCATGAACCTCCAAATCCCCCTAAACCTCCAGTTCCCTTCCGAACCCCAAATCCCTTCCATTTACTGCCATGGGCCAACAGGGGCACTAAAGACACAGGGTACTCTGGGTCAAATGTAACCCCTAGCTTTGGGACACTGGCTGTTCCCCAAATCCCTGCACCACCCCGGGGAGCTTTGGGGATCTCCCCCAATGCCGAAATCCCCTCTGAACCCCCAAATTCTTCCCCTCAACACATCTCCATGCTGGGGGAATGTTGCTCACTCAAAAGCGACTGAGGGGGCCCTGGGACCCAGGTACATGGGGATCTCCCAATATAATGTGCCCCCTACAGCACATTTTGGGGATCCCCCCCTGAACCTCAAAATGTTCCTTGAACCCTCAAATCCCTCTGAACACCCAAATTCCTCCCGCTTCTGTCAACGGGGCTCCCTAGGGCATCCAATGAGATTCGGCTGCCCTGGGATTGATGGACACCCCAGTCTCGGTAGACAGGGAGTGCCCCAAATAAATGAGCCACCCCAAAGAGTTTTGTGGACCAGCCTGAATCCCCAAATCCCCCCAAACCCAAAGCCCACAGCGCCAAAGCCGCCCCGGCTCAGCACAGTGGCACAGACTTGCTAAAAAAGGGGTGTTCCGAAAAGTGGTGTTCCCCCAACACCTGCCCTGGGGATCCATCAAGATGCTCTGGAACCCCGAACACACTGGGGGGACCCCAACATTGCTTTTGGTTCAGTAGTGAATTAGGTGGGCCTAAGGGGGTGGATCCCCAAAAGGGTCACCCCAATAAAGGGGCAAACCAAAACCACACTGCACCCCAAAGGGCCCTGGAGGCACCCAAAGCAATCGTGGTGCCCCTAAATCCTAGGGTAACCCCAAATTTCCCTGAAGCAGCACAAAAGCAGGCAGGACCCCCAAGTGGGGGCCTGGGGCAGCACAATGTCACCCACACCCTTCCATCACCCCGGGCCCCCCCAGATGAACCCAGGGACCCAAAAACCTGGAGGAGCCCCACCAAACACCCGCCCCCAACTGGGGTACCCCAGAAAAGCTGCTCCCCCCCTCCAATGCCACCCAGCCCCAAATTGCTCCTCGTTGCCCCCAAACCACACCCCATGGGGCACCCCAGCTCCCCCATCCCTGGTATCAGGGAGTTGGGGGGGCCAGCCCCAGAGTGGGGGTTGCCTAATTTGGGATATCCCACCAAAAGACCAGGGAGGTGTGGTGGGGGATGGAGGGTAGGAAGCTCTGCAGAGGGATCTGGGCAGGCTGGATCCATGGGCTGTGGCCAATGTGTTGAGGGTCAAGAAGGCAAAGTGCAGGGTCCTGCGCTTGGGCCACAACAACCCCCTGCAATGCTCCAGGTTTGGGGAAGAGGGGCTGAAAACTGCTCATGGGAAAAGAGCTGGGGGTGCTGATTGATGGAGCTGAACATGAGCAGCTTGTGCCCAGGCAGCCAGGAAGCTCCCAGCATCCTGGCCTGGATCAGCACCAGTGCGGCAGCAGGGCCGGGGCAGTGGTTGTGCCCCTGCACTGAGCACTGAGGCCGCACCTCGAATCCTGGGTTCACCTCTGGGCCCCTCACTACAAGAGAGACATTGAGGTGCTGGAGAGGGGCCAGAGAAGGGCAGTGGAGCTGGTGCAGGGCCTGGAGCACAAATGTGATGGGGAAGGGCTGAGGAACCTGGGGGGGACCTGATCGCTGCCTACAACTGCCTGAGAGGAGGATGGAGCCAAGAGGGGCTGGGCTCTGCTCCCAAGGAACAAGGGATGGGACAAGAGGAAATGGCCTCAAGCTGCACCAGGGCAGGTTTAGATGGAGCTGAGGAAGAATTTCTCCGGGAAGCTAGGGACCAGGTTAGGAAAGCTGAGACCCAGTTAGAATTCAGATAGGCTCGGGATGTTAAGGATAACAGGAAGGGATTCTTCAGGTATGTAGCAAATAAAAAACAGACTAGGGACAACATAGCCGCCTTCCAGAAGCTCTCGGGAGAACTGGCTACACGGGATTTGGAGAAGGCTGAGGTTCTGAATGACTTCTTTGCCTCGCTCTTCACTGGCAAAGGCTCTGACCACACCACCCAAGTCTTGGAAGGCAGATGCAGGGACTGTGAGAATGAAGACCTTGGGCCCACTGTAGGAGAGGAGCTGGCTCGAGACCATCTTAAAAACCTGAACATGCACAAGTCCATGGGGCCTAATGAAATCCATGCACGAGTCCTGAAGGAGCGGGTGAATGAAGTTGCTAAGCCACTGGTCTTCATATTTGAAAAAACATGGAAGTCAGGTGAAGTTCCCGATGACTGGAAAAAGGGAAATATAACCCCCATTTTCAAGAAGGGGAAAATGGATGACCCGGGGAATTACAGAGCAGTCAGTCTCACCTCTGTGCCTGGCAAAAGCTTGGAGCAGATTCTCCTGGAAGGCATGCTAAGGCACATGAAAATCAACAAGGTGCTTGGTGACAGCCAGCAGGGCTTCACTGAGGGGAAATCCTGCCTGGCCAATTTGGTGGGCTTCTATGATGGGGCTACAGAACTGATGGACAGGGGCAGAGCAGTTGATGGCATCTACCTGGACTTGTGCAAAGCGTTCGACACTGTCCCACACGACATCCTTGTCTCTTAAATTGGAGAGACATCAATTTGATGGACGGACCACTGGGTGGATAAAGAACTGGCTGGATGGCCGCACACAAAGAGTTGTGGTCAATGGCTCAATGTCCGGCTGGAGACCAGTAACGAGTGGGGTCCCTCAGGGATCGGGGCTGGGACCGGTCTTGTTCAACAGCCTGCGGCCGTTACAGGGGGCGGAGTCAGCTGAGGGGAGTTGAGGGGGTTACTCTCCCACCCTGCACTCTGATTGGCTCCGCGGTGCAGTGGGCGGAGCCAGGCGCTGATTGGCTGCCGTGGAAGTGGGCAGGGCGACAAGAACAGAGCGCGCGTTGGCTGGGGGGGGAAAGGAGTGAGATGGGGGGCGATGGGACCCCTATGGACCCCTATAGAACCCTATGGGGCAGGGGCAGGTTCACACCCACTGCTGGCTCCATGGCTTTATATGGGGGCAATGGCGGTAATGGGGCAATGGTAGCAATTTGGGGTAACGGGGGGTAATGGGGGTAAAGGGGGGGTCTCGGGGTCTCGAGCTCTGCCCACTGCATCCTGGTACTGGAGCTGCTGCTGCTTCCCCCTCCAAGGGACTCGTAAAGAGATCCCCCCCTCCATGGTCAGACCCTGCAGGGACCCAAAGAGACCCCATAGAGAGACCCATAGACACCATATAGACCCACAGCCCACAGAGACTCATAGAGGCCCATAGACACCACAGAGAGCCAGAAAGCGACCCAAAGTGAACCATAGAGACCCCCACAGAGACCCCATAGAGACCCCATAGAGAGCCATAGACTACAGGGACTACAACCCTTATCATGCAACGCGGCACCCATAGAGTCCCTTTACGGTGGCGTCCAGCCGGGACTACTACTCCCATCATGCAGCGCGGCACCCATAGAGCCCCATTATGGCGGCGCCCAGTTATGACTACAACTCCCATCATACCCCGCGGCTCCCATAGAACACCATTATACAGCCGCCAGGTGGTAGTACGACTCCCATCATGCCGCGCGGCAACCAGAGAGCACCACGAGGGCGGTGCCCAGCCTGGACTACAACTCCCATGATGCAGTGCGACACTCCTACAGCACCACTAAGGCGGTGCCCGGCTTGGACTACAACTCCCGTCGTGCCGCGCGGCGCTCCCAGCGCGCCGATTTCGGCCATGATACATCATGGGCCACGTGCGGCACCCGGGGTGAGGGGGGCACCCCAACATCTGGGGGGGAGGAACTGCAACATCTGGAGGGACACCAAACCTCGGATCAGTCCCTAAAATACCCGGGGGGGGGTGTTGTTCCTATAGGAATGTGAAGAAGATCAAAGGGAACCTGCTGTGGTATCTGCTGCACCGCAAAAAGGGGGGGGACCCCGAAAATGCCCCCTCTGGGGACCCCCAAGCTCATTGGGGAGCCTCCAAAATCCCTCAGAACCCCCCCAAAACCCTTTTGCCTGTTAGGATCCCCCCCCAAAATTGCATTGGGATCCCATAACCCCCCCCAACACCCCCCAATTCCCCCCTGTGGCCCCCCCCCCAACCCCTTTTATTCTCCTAAATCCATGCACAGGAGCCCCTAATTTCTTTAGGACCCCTCCAAATCCCATTGGGATCCCCAGGAACCCCCAATTCCTTCCCATGATCCCCCCCCAACCTCTCCTTAACCCCCCCCCCCCCCGTTTCTTCCTTAACTTGGGGCTCAAGTACTGGCACCTCGAGGAGATTCAGGTTTGGGGGGGGAGGGTTTGGGGGGGTCTGTATGGGGTTTTGGGGGGTCCCAGAGGGATGGGGGGGGGGGGTGGGGGGTTTGGGGGAGGCAAATATGGGGGGGGCAAGATTTGGGCCGGGGGGGGGCCAATTTGAGGGGTGGTGGAGGGAGAAAAAATGGTGCTTAAGGATGGGGGTGGTAGTGTCCTCAGGTGACCTTTGGTGTCTCTCCCCAGCGAGGGGCGGGGTCAAGCACGCCTTATATGGAAGTGCGCGAGGCCTTGGAGCAGGTGAGGGCGGAGCTTAAAGTGATGGGCGGGGCCGTGGGCGAGGCCGGAGCAGCGGTGCTGAAGCTGGGTGAGTTCATTGGGGGGGCGGTGGGGTGGGGGGTAAAGGGGCGGGGCTACCGGTCACCTGACCTGAGGCTCTGCCCCCTTTGTTTCCTTATAGAAGAGGCACTGGGGGCGGAGCTTCACCGCCAGGGGGCGGAGCGTCGCCGAGGGGCGGAGCTTCGGGCCCTGGGGGCGGAGGCAGCGCAGGAGGGGTGGAGGCTGCGGAGGGAGGGAGCCCAGATAAGCTCCGCCCACCGGTGAGCGAGGAAGGGGCGGGGCTTCCCCATGGGTATCCCAATGGGGGCGAGGGGCAGCATTCCCATGATGCTCTGCGCTTGCAGGGAGCCGGGGCCAAAGGTGGGACTAACGTCGAAATTGGCGGTAAGAAGGGGCGGGGCTTATTGGGAAGAAGGAGGGGCTTATGGACGGGGGAGGGGTCTGAGCGTGGCCACGTCCCCATTGCCCGGCCCCCTCCCCCCCCCCCCCCCCCCCCCAGGCCGTGTGCAAGCTGCGGGAGGAGGCCCTGGAGGAGCTGCTGGGGCTCCGCCCCTTGTCGAGGTAAGCCCCGCCCATTGCTGCCATAAACCCCTCCCTGTCCATCACCCCCCCAACCCCCCTGCCCTTCCCATTGCCCCCCCAGGCCGCAGGACCTCACCTTGCTCTGGCTGCAGGAGGCCAAGGTGGGTGCCCAAGGGGGGAGGGTGGGGGGGGAGGTGACTGATCCTAACGGTCATGTGACACCCCCCCCCCCATGTGACCTGACACCCCCTTCACCCCCCGCACCAGGCACTGCTGAACCAACACAGCCCAGAGGAGGTGCTGGAGGCCCTGCAGACACTGCGGTGAGGGGAGGGGCTTAGGAGAAGGGAGGGGCTTAGGAGGGGTGGGGCTTTGGGAGGGGGTGGAGCTTAGGGAAGGGGCAGAGCCAGTGGGCAGCTGGGGGTGCGGCTTAAAGGGGGCAGGACTTCCCTTATAAGGTTCTGAGGGTGTGGCCCCAGGGCACTAGGGAAGGGGTGGGGCTACCGGTTGGTGGAGCCAACAGAGGGGCGGGGATTGCATCCTCCCCCCCTCCCCCCTTGTTCCATTGCAGGAAGGGGTACCCCAAAATCAGCCCTGACCTTGACCCTGACCCTGATGCTCAGCCCCCTATGAAGACCCTCATCCAGGTAAATGGGGGGACTTGAGGGGCACATTTGGGGGTGCTTTAGGGCTCGGAGCTCCCCATTGATGTGGGGTCCCCCTTTTGCACCCCCCAGGACTACTGGGAGGATGTGGGGGGACTCTGGGACCTCATCCACTCCTCGGCCTCCCGCCTGTCCCCCCTGAGGCTCCGGCTCCTCCAGCTGCAGGAGGAGATCCAGCAGCGCCTGGAGGGGGACCCCAAAGCCCAGCAGGCTGCCAGGTAAAACCCTGCACCCCAAAACACCTCCCTGAACCCCAAAACCACATGTGCACCCCAAAACACTCCCCCTGCTCTCAAAACACCCCGCTGCACCCTAAAACCATCCCCCTGCACCCCAAAACACAGCCCCTGCATCCCAAAACAACCCCTCCACATTCCAAAACCATCCCCTCTGGACCCCAAAACACCTCCCTGCACCCAAAAACCACATGGTGCACCCCAAAACACTCCCCTGCATCGCAAAACCCCCCTGCACCCCAAAACCATCCCTGCTGCACCCCAAAACACACCCCCTGCATACCAAAACAAACCCCTACACACCGAAACTATTCTCCCTGCACTCCAAAACAATCCCCTGCATCACAAAACTCCCCCCTGTACACCGAAACCACCCTCCTGTACCCCAAAACACACCTGCACCCCAAATGTACCCTCCCTGCACCACAAAACAACCCCCGTGAAGCCCAAAACGGCCCCTCTCTGCATACCAAAACACCCCCTCTGCACCCCAAAACCCTCTCAAGGACCCTCCCAAATGCATCCTGCAGCCCAGTTTCACCCCCTGCACCACAAAACTGCCCCTGGGCCCTCCCCCATGACCTTTTCCTCCCCACTCCTGAACCTCAAAACCCTTTAGGGGCCCCCTCTATACTTTAAACCCCCCTGGGTTTCCTTCTGAAGTGGGTGCTGAGCTCATAGGGGTCCTTAAAGCCCCCCCAGATTCTCCCTAAACCCAGTGCTGAGACCCTTTGGGGTGCCCTCAACCCCTCCATGTTCCCTGCAGCCCTTTTAGGGTGTCCCCCCCCCAAAAAAGTGTTCTGGAACCCTTTGGGTCCCCCAAGCTCCCCTCAGCGTTTGGCTTTGGGGTCCCGTTGCCCCCCAGGTTGATGCTGGAGGCCGCGGGGCTCTCAGGGGCTCGGGAGGCCCTGATCCAGCAGGTCCAGGATCTACGGGGCAGCCCCATGGACTCCCCAGAAGCTGCCCTGGGGCCACTGAGGAGGCAGCTGCAGGAGGGGAAGCAGCGGCTGGTGGGTGCCAACGGGGGACTATGGGGATTTGAGGGGGGTCCTGATGGGCTTGGGGGGGGGTCTGGGAAGTGGAATTTGATGGTTATGGGGAGGGGTTGGGGTCCCTAAAGGGTCCCAGCGCTGCTTTTTGTGAGGGTTCGGGATATTTGGGGGTCCTGGAGGGGGATTTTGGGTCTATAGGGGATGATATGGAGGAGTTTGGGGCTTTAGGGGGGATTTTGGGGGTTCAGCAGTGCTGGGAGGGGTATCTGGGGCTTATGGATGGGTTTGGGGTGAAGGGAGAGGTTTTGGGGAGAAATATGGGGCGATATTTAAGGTGTTTGGGGGGTATTTGGGTCCCTCCCATGGCTTTGGGGTCCCTCATTTCCTTGTGTCCCCCCCCTCCATCCCTTCCAGTCCCGCCGCTGGATCCAGCTCCGGGCTCTGGCCGCATCCAATGGGAAGCTCCGGGCGCAGCTGCGCCTCCTGCAGGCCCAGGTGAGCAAAGAGGGGGAGGAAAGTGGGGCGGGGCTTAATGTGAGTGGGCGAGGCCTCAGAGCTTTGGCCACGCCCCTTTCAGGCCCGAGGAGCTGTGCGGCTCCCCCCAGGGCTGCAGGGGGAAGAGCAGCGGCTGCAGGAAGCGCTGAGCATGCTGGGAAAGGAGAGGGTGCCCCTCCCCCCGAGGTGAGTGAATTGGGGGAGGGGAAGGTTTGTGGGGGAGGGGGGGGAAGGGCTGTGCTGACCCCTCCATTCTCCCTTTAGCCCCGCCCACAGCCCACTGCAGCCAATCAGACGCGCCCTAGGAATGGCAGAGAGTGAGGTGGGGGAGGGGCCATAAAGGGGGAGGAAAATGGGGGGAGGGGCCATAAAGGGGGAGGGGAATTTGAAGGAGGGGCCATAGAGGGGGCAGGGGTCATAAATGGGGGAGGGCCATAAACGGGGAGGGGCAATGAAAGGAGGGGCCATAAAGGGGGGAGGGGCAATGGGGCCGTTGCTCAGGGGTGTTTGTGCCTCAGCCCCCACAGGGGGCGCTGTTGTGGGCAGCAGAGCTGCGGGGGAGCTGGAACAGCTGCAGGGGGCGTGGTCAGCGGAAGGGGCGTGGTCAGCGGAAGGGGCGGACCCTGGAAGCCCCGCCCACCCCGCGGTGAGTGAAGGAGATGGGGGGGTGAGCGTGTGGCCTGCGCTGACCCCGCCCCTTTGCAGCCTGGTCCCAGGCCACCCATGCTCTGAACTTGCACCGCCCCCTCCCCTTAGCCCCGCCCACCAGCGACGAGGAAGGGTGTGACCAGAGCAAGCCCCACCCCTGAGCCTTGGTTTCATCAGATGCTCCTATTGGATGGGGTGCAGGAGGTGGGGCTTGGAGGAGTGCGGGGCCACAAGGCTGAGGTCCTGGAAGCGGAATAGAGTAGGTCCTATAGAAATAAAGCAGTAAATAAAGCAGGTCCTGTGTTAATTATATGTAAATGAGGTTGCACCCATGTTAATGAGATGCAAAGCATGTCTCCTGTTAATAAACTCGTCCTGCCTACAATAACAGCATGTCAACAAATCAGAGCCTCCAATAACAATGCACAGATAATGTGTGGCCTACAGTAAAACATAAATAAAGCAGGTCCTACAGTAACGAAAGTGTTAAACAAAGCAGGTCCTGACATAATAAATTCCCTAATCAAGCAGGACCTACAATAACAGCCTGGGAATAAAGTAGGACCTACAGGAATATGTAAATTAGACAGGCTCTATGTTAATAACAGGTACATAAAAGTAGATCCTACATTAAGAACTTGTAAATAAGTTACTTAGTAAAGCGGGTCCTGACATAACAACCACCCCCGATACAGTAGGTCCTACAGTAATGAAACTGTAAATACAACATATGAATAAAGTAAGCCCTACATTAATAACTCCCTCAACAAATTGGGTCTTACAATAATACCTCCCCGATAAAGTAGGACCTACAATAAGGGCCCATAAATGAAGTAGGTCCTGCCCCAATACCCTGTCAATAGAGCAGATCCGACAGCAACTGTACATAAAATAGGTCCTACATTAATAAGTGAGTAAATACAGGAGGTCCTGGCACAGCACCATGTAAATACAGGAGGTCCTACAGTAAGAACGTGCAAATACGAGTGGCTCCATGTTAATGACATGTAAATAAAGCAGGTCCTCCACTAAAAGGACACAAATTAAGTAGGCCCTCCATTAATAACATGTAAATAAGGAAGTGTCTGTGTTAGTAACATTTAAATAAGGTCAACCCTACATGAACTGCGTGTGAGTAAAGCAGGTCCTAGGCTAATTGCATGTAAATAAGGGGGGGGGTAATGGTGGGATGAGAAATGGAGAGGGATGGAGGGAGAGGGGGAGAAATGGCAGGAATGTGGGGAATGGGGGTGGGAAAAAGGGGGAGGGGGAATGGGGGGGCATAAGGGGGGGAGGGGAAGAGGGGACAAATGGGGGGGCAGGGGCAAGGAAAAGCCCCATATTCAGCCCCATGGGGGGCAGCCGGGACGGGGTTAAATGGGGACACGAGTTGGGGAGCTCAGAGCTCATTGGCTGTTGCCTGGGCAACGGTCGCCAGATCGAGGCTGGGGGGGGGGGCAAGGTTGCCTGGCAACGCGCAGCGCGGTGGAAGCTCACTGGCCGTCGCCTGGCAACATGCAGGAAGCGGTACGCGGAGACCCCGTTGCCTAGCAACCAACCCGGAAGTGCGGCGAGCATCACCGAACGGGGATGGGGAAAGGCCGAAATGCGGGGGTAGGGGGGAGAAGAGGCCTCGATTTCCTGTGAAATCTTTATTTATTGGTTAATTTTCCTTTTTATACATTCTTAAGGTGACGCCTCCTGCCTTCCCTCCCCTCCCCACCCCCCCGGGCTATTTACATCGGTGTCAATAAGGCTTCGGATCGACCCCCCCATCCCCCCTTTATCCTCCCCTCTCCCATCCCGGGTATAAAGAGGGGGGAGATCCCCACCCCTGACACCCCCAGGTGGGGGATGGGAGGTTGTGTTCATTGGGGACCCTCCCCCCCATCGTTTTGGAAGCTGAGGGCACCCAGAGGTGCTCCAGGAGTCGCTGCGGGGGGACCAGCCTCTGCCCAGCCGGCTCGGGGAGGTCCCTCACGGGCTGCTCTTTCTCAGTGCCTTTGGTCCGGACGTGGAGCATGCGAGGGGTCACAGCTCAACGTGGGCCATGGAACAGGGCGTCATGGCCACCTACGAGGAGTGGAGAGGGACCGACATTGGCACAGCAGAGAATCATGGAATCCCAGAGTGGGCTGGAAGGGACCTTAAAGCTCAGCCAGCTCCAACCCCCAAAGGCACGGGCAGGGACACCTTCCACTAGAGCAGCTTGCTCCACGGCCCTGTGTCTCTGTGCACTCCCAGGGCATCCTGGGGATACCCCTAGAGAATCCCAGAGAATGCCTGCAGCACCTCCAGAGCACCCCATGGACCCAGTCAGAGCTCATGCATCACAATGACCTTGGGGACATGGAGACCACAGGGGTGGCTGATTCTGGAACTCCCCGTGTTCAGGTGTGTGAGGCCGCAGAATCCCATGGAACCCTCCAGCAGAGGCACCGGGAGACGACAGCTGCCCCACGGAACACAAGCTACCGGTGGAGGAGGCAAGAGCAGCTCCTCTGGTGGTTCCCGTCTTGGTGTCTCGGAGCCGGTGCCGCCTGTGGACAGAGGAGCGTGGAAGGAGGTGGGTGGCGATGGCGATCTTGGGGTGCTGTAGGAGTTGCCAGAACACCTCAAGAGACTTCCCCAGAGTGGCTGCTTTGGACTCGGTGTGTGAGTTGGGCTGGCTGAGCCGGCAGCGGAGCGCTGCAGCTGCCGAGGGATGATCCTGGGATCTGCCCTCATTTCTTGTGGGGAAAACAAGGGCCTGTGGGGATGGGAGAAGGGGGAACGAATTTAACGTGACAGAGAGGGGAGATTGAGATGAGATCTTAGAAGTTGGTCCCTGTGAGGGTGGTGGAACAGTGGCACAGGGTGCCCAGAGAAGCTGTGGCTGCCCCATGGCTGGCAGTGTTCAAGACCAGGTTGAATGGAGCTTGGAGCAAGCTGCTCTAGTGGAAGTTGTCTCTGGCAGTGGCAGGGGTTGGAGCTGGAGGAGCTTTAAGGTCCCTCCCAGTCCAAACCATTGTGTGCTTCCGTGATATCCTCAAGTCCCCTGGGGGGAAGTGAGTGAACAAGCTGTCTGGCTGGGTTTAAACCAGGAGAGCAAGGCAAGGCAAGGCAAGGGAAGGCAAGGTAACGCCAGGCAAGACAGTCAAGTCCAGGCCAGGAGAGGCAAGACAAGACAAGGGAAGGGAAGGCAAGGCCCATGAAGGGAAGGCCAGGCCAGGTCAGGCAAGGAAAGGAAAGGAAAGGCAAGGCTAGGCAAGGCAAGGCTAGTCCAGGTCTAGACAGGCCATGCAAAGCCAGGTAAGGCCAGGTAAGGAAAGGCCAGGCAAGGCCAAGCAGGTCAGGTCCAGGCCAGGCCAGGCCAGGCCAGGCTAATAAAGGCAATGCAAGGCCAGGAAATCACAGGGAAGGCAAAGCCAGGCCAGGCCAGAAAAGGACAGGCCACACAAGGCCATGCCAGGCAAAACCAGGGACAGCAGAGCCCCGGCCAGGCAAGGGCAGGCAAGGTCAGGCAAATCAAGGCCAGCCAGGGCAAGGCCAGGCCAGGCAAGGCCAGGCAAGGCAAGGTAAGGGAAGGCAAGGCAAACTTAGGCCAGGCCAGGCCAGGCAACGCAATGCCAGGTAATATAAGGCCAGGACAGGCAAGGGAAGGCTTGGTAAGGCCAGGCCAGGCAAGGCCAGTCAAGGCCATTAAAGACAAGGCAAGGCCAGGCCAGGAGATGCAAGGCCAGGCAAGGCAAGGCAAGGCCATTAAAGACAAGGCAAGACAAGGCAAGGCAAAGAAAGGCCAAGCATGGCCAGGCCATGCCAGGCCAGGCTAGGTCAGAGAAGACAAGGACAGGCAGGGCAAGTCAGTGCAAGGCAAGGCAAGGCGTGGCTAGGCAAGGCAAGGATAGGCCAAGCCATAGAGGCAAATCCAGACCAGGACAAGCAAGGCAAGACAATGCAAGGCAAGGCCAGGCCAGGCCAGGATAGGAGATGCAAGGCCAGGCAAGGCACAGCAAGGCCAGGCCAGGATAGGAGATGCAAGGCCAGGCAAGGCACAGCAAGGCCAGGCCAGGGCAGGCCAGGCCAGGCAATTCAGTGCAATGCAAGTCAAGGGAAGGGAAGGCAAGGCTGGGCCAGGTAAGGTCATGACAGGCAAGGCAAGGCCAGGCAAGGCAAGGCCAAACCAAGCCAGGCCTGGCAAGGCCAGGTAAGCCAATGCAAGGCAAGACAAGGTAAGGCAAGTCCACGACAGGCAATAGAAGGCCTGGTAATGTAAGGCAAGACCAGGCCAGGAAAGGCCAGGCCAGGAAAGGCCAGGCCAGACCAGGCCAGGCCAGGACCGGTCATACAAAACCAGGGCATGCCAGGCAAGGCCAGCCAAGGCAAGGCAAGGGAAGTAAGGCAAGGCAAGGGAAGGTAATGCAAGGCAATGCAAAGCAAGACTAGGCCAGGCAAGGCCAGTCAACGCAAGGCAAGCAAAGACAAGGCCAGGCCAGGCGAGGCGAGGCGAGGCAAGGCAAGGCAAGGCGAGGAAAGGCTACACAAGGTGAGGAAAGGCTACACAAGGCGAGGAAAGGCAAGGTAAGGCATGTCCAGGACAGGCAATGGAAGGCCTGGTAAGGCAAGACAAGGCCAGCCTAGGAAAGGCCAGGCCAGGCCAGGTCATACAAAAGGAGGGCAGGCCAGGCAAGGCCAGGAAAAGCAAGTCAAGGCAAGACAAGGCCAGTCCAAGACAGGCAATGCAAGATCATGTAAGGCCAGCTAAGCCAAGGCCAGGCCAGGCCATAAAGGTAAGGCAAGGCCTGGCCATGCAAGGCAAGGGAAGGCCAGGCCAGGCAAGGCAAGGCTAGGCAAGGGAAGGCCAGGACAGGCAGTGTAAATCCAGGACAGGCCAGGCAAGGCCAGGTAAGGCAAGGCCAGGAGAGGCCATGCCAGGCAAGGCAAGGCCAGGCCAGGCCAGGAGAGGCAAGGCCAGGCAAGGCAAGGCAAGGCAAGGCAAGGAGAGGCAAGGCAAGGCAAGGACAGTCTAGGACAGCTAATGGAAGGCCAGTTAAGGCCTGGTAAGGCAATGTAAGGCCAGGCAAGGCATGGCAAGGCTAGGCAAGGCAAGGCAAGGCAAGGACTGTCTAGGAGAGGTAATGCAAGGCCAGGTAAGGCCTGGTAAGTAAGGCAAGGCAAGGCA